TTGCAAATTTTCTAAATTTTTATAACAACCCTCGAAGGAGTCCAAGTAATGGGTGGATATAGCAAACCCTACAGGAAACAGCATTATTTTTCTTTACTTTCCATAGCTCGTCATAATTTTTGTATAAATTTTTTGATGGAAGCACCGAATTTTAGCACTCTCTCAGGCACGAATGCATCAAACACCAACAAATCTTCAGGGAAACTTACAAAGATGATTATAGTTTGACACTAAAAAAAACCCGAAAAATAATGCTGTTTCCTGTAGGGTTTGCTATATCCAGCCATTACTTGGACTCCTTCGAGGGTTGTTATAAAAATTTAGAAAATTTGCAAAACTTGACCTTCTGAAAAAGCATGGGCCGCAGATTTTGATAATTTTTTGAAAGGTTATTAGATTTTGTGCAGTGTTTATATAACCGTTAGAAAGAGAATGAAATGCTGCATCAAATGCTTTCAGAAGCTCTTACATAATTTGTTCTCCGAGATGTGGCATTCGTTTGAAAAAAGCTACATTACTTTCGGAACGAACTAATAATTTACAACACTTTGTTCCATGTATCCACTCTCTTTGTAAACTCTCAAAGATCTCGTTCAAGGCGAGATTTTGAAAATGATTCGAAATCAAAACCTATATAGCTCTGATTTATGAAAACTCTATTGTCACAAACTCTATTGTCGAAGTTGTAAATTTAAAGGACGGATTCCTCAACCACCATGACTGAATGAAAATTTCTTACGATATTTGAGTGGCACTCGTTCATCGCACCTCATGGCTGTTTCGACTGGGTGCATTTGCACCTGAGTCAACTTGATGAGTAATGATTGCGGACGATAAAATAATGCTGCAGTGATACGGAGCGATCAAATCATTACAGTTTCAAAATCTATCAGAATTACCCACAATTGAGCATCATAGTTATTCCTCTAGAACACGAAAACACAAATTACTTTTCCGTTTTTTGAAATCAAATTCGCAAAATTCCAAGGTTCAATTGCAGACAACCAAACTATCAAAATTATCGAGAGATGGTAAATCTGAGATAAACAAATCATTGGAATCACTCGTGGTTGTGATACAAAACCAACTTTTCTGGATTACTCGGTATTTTCATTAAATATTGCTTTTTATTTCATTTTTAAAATCGAAAGAATCATGAAATCAAAGCCGAACATGTCAGTACTACATATATGTTCCAACCTCACTTTCATGTACCATCGTTTGATAAGATTTGATAATAAATCGACACACCAAGGTCACAGCAGCCATGTCAGGGCCAGCCTGCTCAAATAGGGCACCATGAGGGACCAAAATAATCCGTGAAAAAAAATTGGGATTTTGCAGACTTCGAGTACAGGCTCAGATAGCTTGGAACTCGCTTGTTTCGAAAATCAAAATCAAAATTTGATACGAAAAGCCAGAAGAAAGTTACGCCAATCCGGTTTTCCAATGCGACATGCCATTTGTATCGCCGCTGATAATTCCGAAAAATACCAAGACATGAAAATCAGCAAAGTTTGAGTAAACTCATGAGTGCACAAAAAAGTGCCGGTTCCAAAAATTCAATCAAAATTTCGGTTGAAGGACTTTGAATCGAGTTAGACTAGTGCGGCGCTTCCAACGCGACATCGCTGGCATAGGGCCAAAGAAGCCTGAAAGAAGATTCTGAAGTTTTCAAAAGCGTTTTTAAGTAGCTCAGGAGACGCCAATTCCAAATAGTCAAACTAGAATTTTGAAAATTTGAGTTGAAGAAAGTTATGGCGGTGCGGCGATACCAACGCGATGATGCGTATAATTCGCCAAAGGTCCCGAAAAAAGTTTTTTGAAAATAAGATTTGAAAATTTTCAAAAGCAATTTTAGGTGGTTCAGAAGACACCGCTTCAAATATTTGAACTAAAATCCGATTGATTGAAGTAGCGAGCTATCGCAAGGCGACACTTCCGGCGCGACATTGCGCTTATATCGTAGGATTTCAAGGAGGCAGTGTTGGCTCTGTACTAATGAGTTTCGGGAAGATCGTGTTTCTACCTTATTCCCATATAGTGAAAAGGAACGAAGCGGAACTCAGGTAAGTCTTTGATTTTTTTGCTATCGATTGCAAAAAAAATCAAATAAGTAGAATGACAGACTGTTTCGGAAGAATCGGTCGTCACCGAGTTATGCAATAATACTAATCAGATCCTTTGTAAAAAAGACAATGTGCAATAAATCATTAATGTTTTTGTAGCAAGGAGCAGATGCATCATTTCGAGAAAAGCGTTCTGCCAGTTTTGCAGAAATGATAACTACCAAGTCTCAAACAGGCATCCTGGATGTTGTACAAGAGAGAAAGTAGTTGCCACTTAAATGCTAGTTTTTACTGAGGTAATTTCGGACTCTTAACACCATGATCACAATCGAAATTAAAACACTGCTGTGCTATTTGCTCGATTTCTGGCAGGCAGATTAAACTCAGGAAGCAAATCACACGAGGTACGTACGCTGTCCGGATAATTGCTAAAGGTTTCACTTTAACGTTAGTGGGGTACAAGGTCCACATTCGCACCGCTGAGACTATATTGCCATATATCACAGGGTAATAATCTCTGATTTGAAGTACCTTACAATTATTTGCCTTGCTAATCAAGGAATTTCTGTTGTCATTCCAGTGGCCGTATTTATTAACAATAGCGGTTTGGTCTACCCACTAGATTTGCTGCCCAGTAGGTAGACTAACCCACGGTTGGTATTCACGAAAGCTTCCGCTGCTGATAGCTTACCCAGCAGCGCTGACGTCTGAAGAGTATACTGAAATCTTACTCTGGCTTTTTCAGTGCACGTTCTTTACAATTTTGAAAGGCTTTCATACCTTCAAAGCGTAGCTTTGCGGTCTTTGCATGTGTATTGGTGCCTTCGAGCGCTTAAGTGAAACAGTGATCAAAGACTGCATTTTCCCCATATCAAACGACATGCTCTGGTAGCATAAGGATAACAGAATTTCGAAACGGAAAGATTAAACTTTTTGGATCTTAAAAAAGTTTGATGTTTGCAAACACACTATGCGACTTGATGCTTAAGGCACTACAAAATCAAAAATGCTTGTTTTTTTTTTGCTCGTGCGTGATTATTCTGGAAACCTACGGTTGTTTTGGCCCCCTTATCTCTGTTATCGTTCCAGATTTCACTCATTATTAATAGCAGCTCTTTCTCGATGTTTGTTTTGATATAGTTTACTATTTCATATTTACGTGTGGGAGATGCTTGAATTTCGCGATTACACCACGTGCGACTGATGCGGAAAACACCAAATAATCAATACTATACAATATTTGCTCCACTTTTCGTATGTGTTCGCTCAAAAAGGATAGAAGTAGTTATGGAATTTGAACCAAATTTGGCAAGCATAATGTAGGGGGTGAGGCTTGCGTTAATAAGCCTTTTTGTTTGGGAGCCACCTTTTGGCCCATCGATTTTTTGATCTTTTGCAGTTTTTGCTTAGAAGACTTTGTATGTTCGCCCAAAAAGGAGACAGAAGGAGTCATGGAATCTGAACTTGGCAGGTATAATGGAAGGGGTGAGACGTGTGTTAATAATTTTTGTTTAGCACACTGATTGTCGCTATTAATTTATTGATTTTTTGACTGTTGCTCTGCGAATTTTTTCCGCCCTGAATAATAGAAGAAATTTCATCTCACTCTGGAGACCATGTGTGTGTTCTAAATACCGAAAAATACCATAGGCTCCCTTTCGCGGCAATTTGTTGCGCTTTTCTGTTGTTTTATTGGGGGATTCGGCTACAAGGGAAAATATCTATCAGCTACTGCAGCCCAATTTCACCAATGAAACAAGAGTGATGTAGCTCATTTCATTTATGCATTCGAATAATGCGAGGCGTGTATAAGATTTTGTTCAAAAAATACCGATTGCTTCCATCAATTTATTGATTTTTTTGCAGTTTTTGCTTGAAAAGTTTTTGCCGGTGCAAAATGTTCATAAAAATTTTGGGGCCTGAACTTTGCATACATGTACTTCGGGACGGACGGTTGTCACTAAACTTTTATCAAAAATAATCTAGTTTTGCTGATTCATTTACTTCCGGTTTTTTTTGCTTAGCAACTTTGTTATGACTGACTCAGAATGCTGGGAAAAAATTGTGAGATTTGAACCAAACTTTGCATTCAAACTTTCAAACAGGTCTTTTGTTAATAAGCTATTTCCATTAATATAGGCTAATCCATATACCAATTTTTTTACTTTACGCTTTTAGGGTAAAAATTGGCGAAAACGAAAGGGTAAGTAGGCATTGTTTTTACGAATACAATATCTGTTACTTCAATTATTGACTTTCTCTATATATTCATTAACTTTTTGTATTAAGCATCCTCAGTAACTGACTGATATTTCACTGAGCACTGATTCCTTTCTCAGCGGGGTTCACGACAAAATCAGAAATGTTACTTACCCACAAAATCGAACACGACCACAAGATCAACCCAATGATAATCAACACCATAATATTCCATCCATCTTTTATTCATACCATGACGTCATCTCACCTACATTACCTTTTTTTCAATGCTTCCACTTCCAAAACCGTAATACCGTCGTTCACCCCCTACAGCATAGGACACATCCAGCCCTTCTATGTTGTTGGCTGCGCATTGTCTGTTGCTTAGAATATGACTCAGATTTAATTGAGAGGCAAAATTGTGTCCCCATTCATCCTCAATCTATAGTTCATTGATAAAATCGTGACGACGGATTTTACTGCAGACTTTGCTCCTATAGAAGCATGAAACGTTCATACAAGAAGGCATCACCCCAATGTTCAGCTGAGTCACTTCCAGTGTCTAAATATTATCATACGTAAGCAAAAAACCATTCGACTAGAGATGAAAACCAAGAAAATGCAATTTCCGGAAGTGGCGTGCGTGTAGCGCGCGTCGCGCCATTGTCACGATTTTTAAATGCCCTATACATAGGTTAAAGTGAAGAGTTTTGTGCAAACTAACAAACTCACTAGCACATTCTTCCATATGCACAGTACAGAGTGGAACGAAAGAGATACGAGGCAGCGAAGCTTCCGAGTACCAGGCGAACCTGTCGCGTAGCGGCAGAGACTGTGGTTTATTATATTAGGTTGTCCCAAAAGTTTTGTCCGTTTTTTCATCACTCACAAAATTCGCAGAACACCAATCCATGAACGACTTAGGTACCTTTTGGTTCAGATTTTTATCCTATTTCTTACAGTTGTGTTTGTTCTTTGATATACGCTGTCTTTGTAATGTTATGGCCATGGCTTTTTGAGCAGCTCAACAGTAACGTCAAACCTTTACTGAATTTAAAAAATTTTTATCGTGAGGTTTTCGAAGAGCGCTGGCAACTGTTATGTAGAGCAAACCTTTGGCTACATTGCACTCACTTTAGATTACATGGACCTTGTTTACTAAGTCCGTAATAGTTGTTTATTTGGTGAAAACCGCGGCTTTTTAATTACGTCTACCGCGTAAAAGTACCAAAAATTCTAAAAAGCTGCTTTACCAAAGCAAATCAAACTTGGTTATGTTGCATAAATAAGGTTTAATAAGAATCATGTTTCAATTCGCAGAAACTTTAAAAGCTGTCGTTTATTTTCTGCAGTAACGTATTTCATGATTTTGCCAAAAATTGAGACCTTTGAAGAAATAATTTTTTGAAACTAAAAACAGCAGATCAGGAGATTCTGAAAATAGTACCTTTTAGTACGAGAGTTGCTCTATTTGATCCATACTCAACCCTTTTCGAAACTTTATAATGAATTTTTTGAAAAATAGCCTAACGTGGAAGAATTTTGGCAATTATCAAAAGAAGCATACAAGATTTTGATTCGAAAATGTATCCATAAGAACGTGAAGGAAAATATGCATCGAATGCAATCTTGAAACTTATACAAGACTTTATTGTGCGTGGTCTTATAGTGGTTTGAAAAAACGGACAAAACTTTCGGGACCAACCTAATATTTTCTTGCATTCATTCTTATTCAAGGCTATTTTGAGTCCTTCTTCATCCCCTTTTCGCGATTTTGGGAGCTTCAAACTTGACAACGATGGGAAGTTCACTTGCCCCAAATGAAAGCCGCGAGTAATATAATGGAAAGATCGTTTTTTTGCAAATTTGTAAAGGGTGCCAAAAGTCGGCGGAGGGGGGGGGGGATAAGAAGGTATCCAAAACTTTTCAGAAAAGCATTGATGTCTAAACAGATTTAATAGCGTTCCTTATATATCGTACAATATATTGCGGGCTACATACGCTTTCGTAATAAGTGTCAAAGGTTTTGCCTAAGCGTTACTAAAAAACAAGGTCCACATTCTCAGCGCTGAGATTATATTGGTATACCGCACGAGGTTAAATCTTGGATTTGAGGTCTTCAATTATTCGCACAACTGAACAAAAACGTCCGTTTTGACGTACCAGTTGTAACTATGGAAGTAAGTCGCGCTACGGCAAGCAAAGAGACGATGAAGATGAGAGACGATTTGAAAAATTCATCACATCATTGAAAAAAATTAAAGATTATCTAGAAAACTATCGCATTTCGAGCTGCGCTTGTAAAAGAACAAGTGCAGCACATCTCAGCCATGTGTAAAAAAGAATACTAAACCGTTGAATGTTTGGGTCAGCTGATCCTGTTTTTCACGTATCTCTTAGTGTTGGCGTAGATTTTTCGGTGCATACTTTTTTTCTATTTATTGGGTCCTCTTACTTACACAGCCACCCACATTGATTTACAGACTTCTTTTTTGGGATGCGAGACTCGCGATAGTATGATTGTGCACGAGACATTTCAGATTCGTAAGTCTCTGCTCCAGCGAGCTTCTTTGCATGCACTGCTCCTTTCATAGTGAACGTAGTAAGTTTATGCAGAATATGATCAATAGTGGAGCTATGAATGACCACAAAAGAGCTTCATGTAGCCTTATTGTGCGTATGAGATGTTGTATAGACCAGGATGCAAAACTATGTTACGTTTCTTCCGGTTTTATAGCGTTGAGGATACAAAGCTGATTTAGCTTCCGTGATCTCGCCAATTCCCAAGGAAGTCCCATAAGTACAGAAAGAAATAAAGTTTAGAAGAGATGAGAATAAAGAGAAGATACATGATTTTTGAGCTGGAAAAAAGTTGTGTTTTACTGTTTTTAGATGGTCATGAGTTCTTAATTTTCATAGATTTGACTTCTATTGATAATCGAGGATTACGCTAATTGATAAAGCATCAAAATGCGCATATGTTTCAGTAGTATGCAGCGAATCGTGGAATTCCAGCCCAACTACCCTTCAGTCCGAGGAAGCTGAGAAAGTTTTAGCAAAATAGATACCAAATTGACGATTCGCGAATAGAGAAAAGTACTTGTTAGAAGAAATCTTTCATCACCCTTATATACGGTGAACGCAATCGTTCAATGATATATCCAAAAATATACTTTGTGTTTCAAAATGATCAAATGGTATAACAGACTGTTATGGAAGAATCCATCACTGAGCTGTGTAAATGTTCATGTTTTGTGCGACTTAAACCCTTTGTGAAGAAAATGGTGTATACATCACTGATCACTTTGTATGAAGTTAAAATGCACGATCTTGAAAAAAGCCGTTTTGCCAGTTTTCGTTTGCGAAAATTTCTATGATTTACTAGACGCACAGGATTTTGCACAAAAGCGAAGTCGATGTTGTTACATACTTTATGTGCCAGTTTCCATTGAAATTTTTGTTTCCTAACCGAACACCCGATGAAGATAGGTTTAAGAATGAGCAGTTGGTATTTCATATAAGTCATTATCGACTTAGCAAAGAAAATTTGAGCTTGTGTGGTCAATAAGTGTGCAAAAGAGTTTGGCTGAGCGTTGTTGAAAATGTCGATTGAGTCCAGTCCTTTTTCGTTTTTTAGATCTCATCACTGAGACCACAGTGATTTCTTAGATGGTTGAAATCTTGCACTTGCAATACCTATTGTCTGCCACAAACATCAAACAATATTGAGCAAAGAGAGCACGTACCGCACTTAGTAGTATCTATATTACTGATAGGAATCAAACTGCTTTCAAACTATTTTTCCTAATTTGTGAGAAAACCTTTTACACAACTGCTTGTCTCAGAATGAAAAGGCTACAAAATTAAGATTTTTGAGTAAGCTTCTCTGAACTTAAAGACCCGTAGTAAACCCCGCGGATGTCGTGAAGTATAGCTCGAAGTCTGCTGTGACATGTGCTGACTATCGTGGAGCGAGGCAGGCAAAGCGGCTATTCTTTACCATTGCCGGCGGATGCAATCAATGCGGAGCGCCAGGGTAGTCGCACTTTGTCGCTATATGTCGCGACATATCGCGACATATAGCGACATATTGCGACATGTCGTGACGGACAGACGGCGAAATACCTTGTCCATCATGGAGACGCAGAGACATAGCGCAAGACTAGAGCTCGACACGCCAACCTCGCAATAGGTCGCACATGCACACAGTTCTCTCCAACGCACGTCAACTGCAATCAATATCAACAGCTGAGCGCCTAATTGTTCGACCAACGTGCCTCTCCCCACTTCTTAGGTAATCTTGCTGCTATACGCTTTGGCATTCACCATAGGTGAGTTTATTTCGATTGAAAAGTTTATTAGATTCGTATATAGTCATATTTTATCGTGTTTACGCTATTTTTCTTTTTTATTCCCACGATGCATTTCATTCGTGCACCAAATCTCTTCTTCATGCCAGACTCAAGTATTCATTTTTTCTTTCAATCTTAGTAGTTTACACCACATATTTTCGCTGAATTACTATTCGCTAGCCGTGCACCTCTCGTTCCCTTTCGTTTTGAGAGAAAGGGCCGTCTGGCTTTACGGCTAAGAGAACAGCCCTTCTTTAAACACCAAGGAGTGAAGGTTTGATAAAATCCTAATTTTTCCTATGCATTTCCAGTATAGTGTGTCTTGAATGCGAGTTTTCTTCACCAACAGGAAATTTGCTGACTTGTGTTGCCAGAAAATACGACTACCTGGCAAACTGCAAAAGGTAGCACCGCGCGGAATTCGAACCCAGCACCTTTATCACACTCTCCCGTGGCACTGGTACTGCGCTACCTGCGCATTATTTCGACAGTGCCGCCTTGGATAGATTTGTTTCCAAGCAAATGCACGTGGTAGGACTTCAGTACTAAGGGACCAGGCATACTGCGAGAAAAACTGCATATTCGTCCATACTGGCTTTGCTACCATTCCCCATTTGCTATATGCATCTTATCCTTCGTTGTATTAAAATGTGACAGCGTTTGTACGTATAGCGCAGCGCGCGTGAGCGCTCACGACATAGTCCCTCTATGTTGTGACAACCAGGTGGGGTTTACTACGGGCGAAGATTTTCTTCGTTCAAATGTCTCATATTATGCCATTCTAGCTTCATGTGTGTTTTAATACTCTCTACAAGTAAATTTTGGACTGCAAAATTTGCTGATTTCAAGCATGAAAAGTTCCGTTCCGTTGGTGAAGTCTCAACCTGTGCATACTTTTTTGCGTGTCCTTTTGCCTGGTGCCAGTAAGTATTAGAATATGTCTAGTGTGAACCGCTTAAAATTAGGAGTGACTGCAAAAGTACCTTTCGCAATCAGTCTCAGTTCTTTTAGAAATCTCTCTTTTCTGAATACAAATGATCTGAGTCCCTTTTGATCACAATTGAGGCTGCATGCACTAACATCCCCGCTGGGGAGGGGATCGCAGCTTAGAAAGAAAGCTACATATCCTGAAGCCAGATATCTGGATTTCACGCTGCATACGTTTCCGTAAGTTTTCCTATCAATCTCAACTTTAGCAGACTTTTTTGCGTGTCCTTCCTGCCTGGTACAAGTAAGTACTAGATCCTACCAGGGCCCGGCGGGGGTGGCGCTTTCACAAGCTGGATATCGTTTTTGGCCCGAAAAAGCAAAGGGGAAGTCGTATTATGGGGTCCGGGGCGGAGCCCCGGATCCCAAAATACGACTTCTTCTTTGTTTTACCGATAAACAATGCACATATCATTCTTTATTCATCATTCCTTATTGATGCTACTGTCCTATGAACTTAGATTCCATCAATGTGAAG